ACTGAGAGAGCATCTTAGAGAGAAACCGAACACCAAAGCCTGGGTGACCACCCAACAGGCGGGCAGTCTAGATGGGTCCAGCCAAGAGGGAGACCATGCATGTAGGCCACCAGCCCGGAGGCCAAGGAGAGGAAGAGAGAGAGACCCTGCCAAGAGCAGGTTTTGTGGTAGCCCCCGGTGATCTCCTGTGCTGGGGACTCTGTAGGGTGCAGAGGGGCATAGCCCCAGATGCACTCTTCAAACGTGCTGCCAATCCACCCGGGACAGGAGAGAAAAGGGCAGAGTGGAGGCCCCTATGTGTTTCTAGAGCCATGAGGGGTGCCCTGGTCAGGAACTGTCCGTTTGTGTCCCCGGTCCGGCCTCACACAGAGACACCTCCAGAGAACTTAGCTAGATGCCTGGAGGAGGGCTTCCCAAGACTCAAAATCAAGCTGAAAACTGCTTCCAGAACCTTACCATGTTCCTCTCACAAAGCCCCCTGAAGGGTACCCAACCATGAGGAGTCTGCTCCTCTGGTTATTTTGAACAAGTCACATGTCTGGGCCCAGAGCTCTGAAGGCAAACTGGCTTGAGAGGCCAAGTGGCAAATCATAATTCCTGCCAGGGAGGACAGTTGAGCCAGCTGACGTGCTCCTTCGCTTGGGGCTGGCCAGAGTTGCCAAACAAAGGGCAGAATCAATTATGAAATCCTTTAGCAGGAAGCAAAACTTGCCTTCCTGCTGTCTTCACTCCAGAACATTCAGATCTATTTCCTTCCCGGTAATAACGGTAAGAAAGGAAATCTAGTCCTTATATCCTTTGAAGGATGGTGTTTGCCTGTGTGTCCAAGCCAACAGATCTACACGCAGGGAAATGCACACGCACGTGCACCCAGGCCTGTGTGCCCTGCACGTGTGAAGACCACGGAAGGTATTCTGCTCTCCCAGAAATCAGAAAACGTTCGCCCATTGACTTTCTTAAGAACATTTTCATGTTTTGCCAGTCTGAACACTGAGCGATGTGAGTTCTGGGGCCATTTTAGCTCCCACCTAGCTGTTAACATGGCCCCTCTAGGCCTCAGTTTTCTCAGCTTAAAGGGGACCCTCCGATCACTCAGAGCTCTGACGTCCTCTTAGCACCGACCTGCCAGTTAAGCAGGATGGCGCCACCTGGGCCTGGAGCTGGAGTGTTTTATTTTCACTGTGGAGGGAGGAGAATAAATAGAACAAGTGCCTCTAAAAAATTCATGACTTATAAAAAGAAACGAAATTGAGTTATTTGTCGTAAGGTGGATGGACCTAGAGTCTGTCATACAGAGTGAAGTAAGTCAGAAAGAGAAAAACAAATTCCGTATGCTAACACATACATTTGGAATCTAAAGAAAGAAAAAAAGGTCATGAAGGACCTAGGGGTAAGACGGGAATAAAGACACAGACCTACTGGAGAACGGACTTGAGGATGTGGGGAGGGGGAAGGGTGAGCTGGGACAAAGTGAGAGAGCGGCATGGACATACATACACCACCAAACGTAAGGTAGATAGCCAGTGGGAAGCAGCCGCATAGCGCAGGGAGCTCAGCTCGGTGCTTTGTGACCGCCTGGAGGGGTGGGATAGGGAGGGTGGGAGGGAGACGCAAGAGGGAGGGGATGTGGGGATACGCGTATATATATGTATAGCTGATTCACTTTGTTATAAAGCAGAAACTAACACACCACTGTAAAGCAATTATACTCCAATAAAGATGTTAAAACAAATTCATGACTTAAAATACTTGACTGAGTTGAAAGGATGTTTCTGTCTGCGCACCTGCAGGAGCTAGTTAATGCTGGTAAGTTCAACAGAGAAAGCGTTGACCTACTGCTTAACCTGGAAAATCAATTGCGTGATGTGCTTATGTCTTTTTGTTTGAGAATCATGAACTCCCGTAATGAATTTTCTACTGCCACATTTTTGCTACCGATTTACCCACTCTGCCTTCTCAGTTTTCACTGCGCTGTCTTCCTGTGGCATTAAAAGAAAAAAAAAAAAAAATCAGGGGAATTCCCTGGTGGTACAATGGTTAGAACTTGGTGCTCTCACTGCCGGGGCCCAGGTTCGATTCCTGGTTGGGGAAGTAAGATCCCGTGAGCTGCGAGGCACGACCAAAAAAATGAAAAAGAAAAAGAAAAGAAAAAAGATCATTGTCAGCTCATGTGAATACTTTATTAATCGTTTGTGGAGTGGTCTAGAGCTACAGGGAACCCTGACCCTTGTTTTTGTTCCAAATTACCTTAAGAGACATCTGCTTTGAAAAATGTGGCATCATTTCTCATCTAAGGAGGCAGGAGGGCTAAGTTTGATGGAATCAGGGCCAAAGTCAGTCAAGGAAAAAAAAAAACAAAACAAGCAGGACAACTTGTAAACCTCCTCTGCTACTAAGCAAAGCAGGCACCTGGCCGGCGTTGATCAGGCCTGGCGAATGCTAGACAGACAGCTCACAAACTGCTGCTTCCTTTCCAAACTGCCCCACCTGCCTCCGCAGCTGCTAGGGCTCCCAACACAGCCTCACACCCCTGCCTGCTTCCTCCGCCCTCCGAGCAGGCACTTGGCATGACCACGCTCTCCACACGCTGTTGGGGAGCACAATACTTCCCGTCCCCTCTCTCCGTGCCCCTCCGCCCTGCCCTGTTGCATTTCGTGTATTACATGCCAAATCTGACACAACCCTACGGGGTTTTTTTCTTTGCACAGTAATCTTGAAAAATATGATGACCTGTAATTGTCTTTTTTTATTTGAGGCCCTGTGGTTTGAGGCAAGGTCGCTGGGGGAACGGCCTCAGTAAGAGGAGGCTCATGTGAAATTGGTTAGAAAAATGTTCCAACAACTGAGAGTGAGGAAGCCGTCCAGGGGGTGGGCATTGCTGGGGCTGAGCTGGGAAGAATTAGGCCACGGGGTGTTGGCAGTTTCCTGCATAAGAAATTACTCTGATCCAGAGGTAAAGGAAGGTTAATTGGCAGAGTTTCAACTTCACTAGGTAAACACAGATCTGCCCCCAGTCTAATTTCTACAAAGACAGAGAAGAGAGGAAGGAAAAAGGAGTCAGGGTAGAGAGCTGGAAGGGGCTGGCAACAGGGGAAGAGCCGTAAGCTCTGGGTGGAGGGCCTGTACCCATGCGGAGGTGGCCCTTGGAGCGTCCTTCTTTTTTTTCATAATGAAGTTTGGATGCATATAGACAGTACAGAAAAATATTGAGAAGGAAACACATATGCGCTCACAATCCTACAAGAGATCAGCCCTATAAATTTCTTTCTTTCCAGTCTTTTTCCCTTTCTGAATATATTGTAACATGGTTGAGCTCATACTGTAGCTGCAATTCAATACCCTTTTTTTTCCCCCTTAATGTTGACATACTGCAGTTTCTTGTGCTTTTGTAAACTCTGTGTGGTTTATGGCCGTGAGATGGTTTGTCTTGTGGATGCCCTCTGGCAGGATGGCCCCTTCACAGTGGTTAGGAGCATTCCTGTGGGGCAGATAGCCCTGGACTGGACTCTTGGCCCCCTGCCCCGTTTACTAGCCTGGTGACTTGGGGAAATGACTTCGTCTCTTGAAGCCTCAATTATTTCATCTGCAAAATGGGCATAATAATATCACTCCTTATAGAGTTGTCACGAGGATTGGGCAAGGCAGTGCTTACTGACTCCCTCTGTGAAACCGCCTCCTCCTAAGAGGGAAGTAATATTACTGTTTTACAGATGAGAAATTTCATCTAGGTGAGGTCACTTGCCCAGGGTCCACGGCTAAAAACTGAGCCAGGATGTGTAACGGCAGCCACATTCTGAAGCCCCGCCTCTTGCCCACCATATTATACTCTCAGTTGGGGTCACTTGGCCAAATCACCCAACTAGTAAAGAGCAGAGTTGAAATGTCAAGTCCAGAGCCTACGTGCTGTGATGCTCCCTGAGACAGTTCTCTGTGGGTCTCGTATTCTGTGGGTTTTACTTAAAACCATTTCTTCCTGTGCCCTGGGACTGCATCAGGCACCGGGAGGCACTGGTGGGTCGGGCTGAGGATGTTCGGGTGCTTTTGCTGGTCACATCAGAACTTTTTCAGCGTGCAGAAGAGAGTCCATGGAGCTTTTTTAAAGTCACAAGTATCTGATACCCAGAGAGGGTCAGGACAGGTGTCAGCAGCAACATGGATCATATGCGCAAACCCTCCCCATTTCCATCTTTCCTTAATGATGTTGATGATGAGATGTTTCTGTCCTTGCCTTTGGTCCCCTTTTCCCCTGTGCAAGAATGGTGCCCAAGAACTGTGCCCTGGCTGGACTCTCGGCCCTAGGACGTTTGCCAAGTCCAGCCTGTTTCCCACCTACAGCGGATCCTGGGTGAGCAAGGAGATGCCATTGATTGCATTGCTGCCTCATTCCCTCCAGAATGATAGGGTGTGAGAGAAAAACAAATAGTGGCTGATATGCAAAGAAACTCCATTCCAGTTTCCAGGGTATGACTGGTCTGTGGGGGAACCTCACAAATGGCCTACCAGCCTTGGGGTGAAAAGGGGAAGAAAGCTTAGAACCCTACCCAGCCACAGGGGCCCCTCAGCCTGCATTTTGTTGCAGGTCCCACATCCAGAGCGGATCTAATTTAGAGCCATCCCAGTGACTCTTTCTGAATCGCTTGGTTATTCAGCAGATTAAATCTTAATTGCAAATGCGGTTTCAGCGTAGGAGTACCATTGTGCTTGCTGGTTTCAGGCCATTTTTGCTGAGCCGCGCTTTTCCAGAAGGCTGTTACAAATTTAGAAAGGGGGAAATGGTATTTCATTTGTCCATCAGAGCTTTGTTTTGCAGACTGAATTTATTTTAGTGCCTGTTTAAAGGTGCCAAAACCTGACATCCCTGGAGAGAGAATTGCTCAATTTTTTTGGAGAGCTTCTCTGGACTGTCCAAAGTACATCTAGAAAACACTGTCTGTGGTCCTTATGTGAGAGGCCAGGCCTGCCAACAATCTCATGTGGTATCATTTTGATTAATTTTTCAGAGACCCAAGAAGCCACCTCCTCCATCGGCTCCCGTCATCAAGCAAGGGGCAGGTAATATACCTTTCACTTCCCGTCAACACACTGTCTTTCTCTTACTGTTTTCCCTAACAAAGAAACATATCATTAAAATGTATCCCTGATACAGCCTCCCAAAGGGAATGACCAGGAAGACTTTGTTTCAGAATAAACCAGTTTTCTTTGCTTTGTTTTTATTTTTATTTTTTTAATAAACCCCTTTTGTGGAGAGAGGAACTGGTTGTCTGCTTTGCCTGTGCCTGCCCATCGAGGGTCAGCCTGGGGAGACCTGCTTCCCGTGGGTCACAGCTTCACTGGGCATGTATAGCAGTGCTGAATTTTCAATTTCTGTCCCGGCTGGTTAACCAAAATTTGTACTTACTTCACTTGCCCCAAGCAACGAAAAATGTTTTTCTAGCAATACTTTCCCTCCCTCATGAGGCTTTTCTATTCTGGAAAAGAATCCAATTAATTCACTTTTTCTGTGTGGCTCAGATGTTAAGGTTGAGTACTATAGGAAGACTTGATGTCGTTGGACACTTGGTAACTCATTGTACACTGGCGTCTCATACATAAAGATGAGCATTCCTAGTTCCCAATAGAACTCCTCTTTATCATTGTTAAAACAAATTTTAGGGAGAAACTCCTCCGTGAATAACTAGTTAAGTCGCATTTTAAAAAATTAACAACGAAAACTGAAGAACAGTAGGGGTATTTTTAATTCTACACATGCATAGTTATGATATTTCTGTAGCATTTAAAGTATGAATACATTTCCAGATTGGTTTATTCAACAGATTTATTAGGAGTGATTTTTTTTCCCCGTTCTTTTGGCCCACCAAGTTGGGGGGAAAAAAATCAGCTTGACCTCACATTCCTTTCCCATTCCCTTCAGCATAGTTGAGAATTACAGAGATTAAGCCCCCACATGGGATGTTAATTACGTCTCCTGCTCAGCCCCCATCCTTGTTTGTGTTGAGCAGTTTAATTTTGCCACCTAGTGGTTCTGGCTGGATAAGTATTTTATTTTGCTGAAATTAAAACAGACTATTGATTTGCTTTTTTTCTGAAGATCCTTTTCCATAGAAGCCTTGGTGACAGGTTAGAGACCAAGGAGGTGAGTTGAGTGGTCCCAGGCTCAGGTGGCCTAGAATGTAACCAGGGTTGGATTCTTCATGGTAGTAGGACCGTCATTTCCTCCTGTGTCTCTAGGAATGGTACTGAAATTCTTCATTAGCGTTAGGAGACCAGATTGTAGCATGGTAGGCAAAATCTTATCCTTTTAAGACAATTTGAAAAGGTTGTGCTGGATCTCTAGGGGCAAAGCATGATGGCATTTAATCTTCCTAGATTACTACTACTGCTCGTTTATCCTGCTGTATAATCTTGGGAACTGCTTTGTAATGGGGAGGTAGATATTCCTGTTTTCCTTGTGTTTGGTTATTTGACGAAAAAAATCAGATACAGAATTGATAGAAATCAGATACAGTGTTTAACTTGTAGTGAGTTATTAAAGAGTTAAGGTAAAGTGTGTGTTCAGTGGGTTTTATTTTAAGTTCTTTTGGCTTCTGATGCTGTGTAATTGAGATTTTAGTACCAAGCACACATCCATAGGGTTGGTCATATAAGGAGTTTGTCAAGCACTCAACCAAGTCCATAAATCAGAGGAGTACTTGTGATGCGTTTCATGCTTCAGCTATTTTCCAAGTACCCTTACGGACCTGAGGCCGCTGACACTGATGAAGTTCCCTGGTGCGGGAAGCAACTGTGGTCCAGGCGTGTAAAGAGGAAGGGTGAATTGGCACATTCGGGAAAATGTAATGCCTGAGGGATTCAGATACAAAGGACCTAGGGAGGACCACCGTATCTTCTCTGTACATCCCTCCACTTAAAAATGTGTTTAAGAGGTAACAAACTACCAGTTATAAAATAAATAAGTCACAGGGACGTAATGTACAGCATGGGGAATATAGTCAGTAATTATATATATATATATATATATATATAGATATATATATATATATATATATATATATATATATATATATATATATATATTTTTTTTTTGTTTGTTTGTTTGTTTGCGGTACACGGGCCTCTCACTGTTGTGGCCTCTCCCGTTGCGGAGCACAGGCTCCGGACGCACAGGCTCAGTGGCCATGGCTCACAGGCCCAGCCGCTCCACGGCATGTGGGATCTTCCCGGACCGGGGCACGAACCCGTGTCCCCTGCATCAGCAGGCAGACTCTCAACCCCTGAGCCACCAGGGAAGCCCATAGTCAGTAATATTTTAATAACTTTGTATGGTGTGTAATGTATAAAAATACTGAATCACTGTGTTGTACACCTGAAACTAATATAATACTGTAAGTCAGCTAAACTTCAATTTAAGAAAAATACACGTTCTAGTTACTATTGCTGCGTAACAAACCACTCCAAATTTGGTGGCATAAAACAACAATCTTCTTATGCCCGTGGATTTGTTTATTTATTTATATACATTCCCCACCCACACCAAGTGGTCTCCTTGTGACTACTTTGATGCGTAAGGAAGTCAGATTTAAGTATCAATAAATATTAGTGGTGTTCTTGTAAATGAAGGATGCATAGGCAGGCAAACTTAATGACATATGCCAGAAATGGCTTCTGCTCCGTTTCTAAGCAGCTTGTGTTTGCCAGATAACACCAGCACTCAGCTTAGGAAAGAAAAAAACCTATTGACTTTGCTGTACCTGATAAATATTTAAAACGCTAGTGCATCTAATAAATGGATGGGGGAAACATTTCCTAATGGTTGCCATCCTTTCCCCGCCAGGTACCACTGAAAGAAAACATGAAATTAAAAAGATACCTCCTGAAAGGCCAGAAACGCTTCCAAATAGAACAGAAGAAAAAGGTATGAGATCAGGTCTTCGTTGGCGCTTCTAGAACCGCAAGAGACAGAGCTGTCTGTCACAGGGCTAGGTCCCTATTACCCACAGAATTTGCTTTTTCTTTGGAATACGGTGATTACGGTTTTGTTTTGATTGCCTTTAAATTTCCTGTTTCTAAAGAAATAGGAGAGAGGGTTATGTGGTGCTTCTTTGGGCTGGCATTTCTCATCAAATGAAAAACAACCAGCCTAGTCACTTAACACATTGGGGCTCTTCCAGCCCAGTCTTCCTGCCATCACCGCCCTCCCCACACCAGCAGCACCCTGAAGCCCGCAGGCCGACTGTAAGTTCCTAGAGGGCCCCGCTGTACCGGCCACAGTTCCCAGCCAGCCTAGTGCCCCAGGTGCTCATTAACTGCCGATGGGTGGGTGTGGCTTAGAGAAATTCCCGTCCAGACAAATGAAAGCTGTCAGTCACTGCTGGGCCTTTGACTCTGGCTACTATATTGCAGACACATGTCCTCGGTCAGGAATGTTGAGGGAGGGGGTGGCATGGCAAAACTGGGAGAAGCAGCCCAGTGCCCACAGTCCCCTTAACGGGGTCAAAAATGTCATTTTCAGGGAAGTACCATAACCCGTATCACACAGTCAGTTTTATGAATGTGTTTGACTCCTATGGTCTGCGTGTCCCTCCCAAAGAAATCTGCATGCTGTGGAAGGACTCATTTTATTAGGTGTCTAAGATTTGATTGATCACACATTTTACGGGGAAAGCGTTACGTGTTATTATTATGAACAGGAGGCAGAGCAAATTCCATTTTAAAAAGCAGTTATTTGTAAGTCACAAGAGAAATGCCGAATTAATGAATGTAATTATTTGGAGATGCTCCTGGGTGGCCTCATGAAATTTTATTGTGAAATTTAATATTTTATATCAGCCTGCCAGAAGTTTTGCCAACATTGCGAGTTCTTAGGAAGTTACACCTCTTTCTTTCACAGTGAACAGTTAAAACTTGAGTTGTGGAAGCTCATTGTGAAGGCCAGGTCTGCGTCACAGATCAATGAAAAAGTAGCTATTGAGTGTGTACCATACAAATAGTTCTTTGATAAAAGTGTGCGTGTTGTGGCATAACCAAACACCGCCTCTGTCCTCACGGAAGACACATGGCTGGTTTTGGGCTCATAGCCAGGCTCTGTGATGAGGACACTGCCTGCTCTGTTCCATGCTGACTAGCATATGTACTCGGCTTACGTGTGAACAACTGCCCTAGTTGGTTGGCCAAGTGGCCACACACTTCTGCTTCCTTCCCCTCCCGTGATGCCTTGTTCTGTGCCGCAGTGGGTCAGGAGACAGAAGCCCTGGTCAGAAGCAGCAGGGAAGACAGCAAACCAGCCCCACCTTGAGACTTGGCCTCCCTAGTAGGTGGGCACGAACCCTCTCTCCCATTCGTTCTGCAGACTGCTGGAGGCTCCCGTCCATCCCAGGAGGCAGGAGGAATCCCCCCCCCCCTTTGTATTCTAGCGGAGCCCTTCCTCCTCTGGTGCCTCCTCTGGTCCCTGCGGACCAGTAAAAGAGTTCCCAGCATTCCTGGATGGAGCAGGTTCCCTTATTGAAATATTGTGGGGATGAGCAGTGATGTCTGTACAATACCTGATGGGCTTTTTAAAGCTTTGCCAGTCTGCCTGGTCACCCAAACGACGTGAGTTTGTGTTTGCAAGTAAAATGTGTTCACAGTTCCAGCTTCCAAGTGAGCACAGGGATGCTGCCTGTCCTCCAGTAGGCAGCTCTCTGAAGCTCTACCTTTACAGAGAAACATGGGGACATAAAACGTGAAGCTGCCACCAAGCACTGCCCAGTTTGGCACCAGATCTGGCTTTAACTTCTTTCTAATAGTTCCGACACCCAAAACCCTCAGAAACCAAATACCTGTGAAGTCCGAGTTTACCTTCCAAGGTGAAACTGTGCACAGAAAGAATCCAGAACTAATTGTTGGCTCCTGGTGCTTTACACAGGCTGACCTGGGAGACGTCAGGCCTCTTTCCTCTGCACACCCAACAGGTCCCGCTGGTCATTGACCAAACCCATCAGCCATTTACCGAGCACCTGCTCAGTGCCAGGCACCATGCGGGTTCTAGAGAGATGGCCAGACGTGGGCCCTGCCCGTGGGGGCTGACTGCCTGCAGGCTGTGCCAAGCATGCAGACACCCAGAAAGTACTCAAGTGGAGCCTGTTTATAAAGGGCTGTCGTTCGCAGCTCAGGAGAGGGAGTAGGAAAGTCTGCCTCTGAGGGTGGGTCCAGCCGTTGAGAAGGGAACATGAGCGTGTCACATTTCAGCCAGGCTAAATGTGAGTAGGCCCAATGAAGTATGAGTAGGAGTTTTCCAAGGGTGGGCAATGGCCGGAAGGGCCCATAGGTCTTTTTCTAACTTGACCAAGAATAGATGATGCTCTTCGCCTTCCATCCTGACCTTGGCAAACAGCGTCAGTGATTTTTTTAAGCAGTCTTCAGTACTGTCACTTACACTAGTTCTATCTGTCTTCTTTATGCTTCTTTAAACAATGACTTAAAGAAAGACCAGAGAGAGAGCCAAAACTGGATTTACAGAAGCCTTCTGTTCCTGCCATACCGCCCAAAAAGCCACGGCCACCCAAGACCAATTCTCTCAGCAGACCAGGTGCGCTGCCCCCGAGGAGGCCGGAGCGACCAGCGGGTCCCCTGACCCATACCAGGTACTGCTCCGCTCTTGACGCTGGGGCGGGGGCGGGGGCAGAGCAGCCGCAGGACGCTGGACTCCAGCCACTTGGGTCCTTGCTCCCATGCTCAGGCAGAAGCGGGTGTGAGGCTGGGGGGCGCAGCGTGGGTTTCAGGATTAGAGATGAGAATCCAGGTCCTGGCATCTAGGCCCTGCTCATGCGTGGGGATTTCCCCCTGTGCTTCCTTAGAGCAAGGCCAGCTGCCCTTCCGACCGGAAGTGCGGGTGACATGCCCGCCTTCACTCCGGATGTCCTGCTGGCTTGGGTGCGTGCATGTCACTGGCAGCTCCATCTCCTGGCCCTGTCCCTGCTCTAGGGTGGCCCCCTCCACACTCCCAGGCTCCCTCTGCTCTTGCCTGTGCAGCCCTATTGTGGGACCCAGGACCCAGTCTGGCAAATGTTGTCTTAGTGTCCATGTCCACGAACTATGAGACCCTCAAAGGCAAGGGGCATGCTTCGTTCAGGCACGAGTCCCGAGACGGGCCTGGCAAAACTCAAATTTGTTCACTGGCCGGCTGGACACCTGTGTTAGTGATACGGAATCAGAGTTGGACATTGTGCCTTCCAGACCTGAGATGCCCACCACAAAGGACAAGGAAGTGTCACGTTCTCTCCACAAGTTCGTTGCTGGAACTTTCTACCATTACATGCATATTATACGTGTTGATGTAATATACTGGAGCAAGTCGGTGGCCTAGAGGTCTTTACATGGACCTGTCAACACACAGTCACTCACCAAATTTTTGTTCTTCTGAGCTAAGTTTGCATGGTGAGAATCTTATGGGGCTTCAGTGTCCTCGTGCTAGAGTCAGGCAGGCTTCCAGGCTCACGTCATAGTAGGAGTGGGAGCCCCAGCAGGTCACTGCCCCTCTCTCCTCACCTTCCCTGCCTGTACATTGTGGATGATCATGGAATGCATCTAAAAGGATGGAAGGATATAATTTCCGAGTATGTAGCCTCGGGCGTGTAAATCAACTTTACTTTCACTGTCTTATTTATGATTGTGTATCAAACTGGGTATACTGGAGTGAAACAAAAATAGCTCGTGTATATTTTAGAAAAAATTTTAAATCGTGGTAAAATACACATAACACAAAATTTTCTCAGGTATGTGAGCCCATTGGAGGAGCGGCTGGCTCACTTGTGTCATTCGGCAGGTGTCCCCCCAGATCCAATCAAACAACTGCTCCCCTGTGATGGCCCCGGGGGAAACTAACGGGACCAGGGCCACTGCTGAGTGGCTCAGGCCCCTACATGTTGTGTCCTCTTCTGCTGACGGACATGCGCACGATGAGGCCGCTTGCCAGCCCCAATGACCTTAGCAAGGGCCACTTCAGTAGCGCGGTCGGCCCAGAGCTCGCACTTTAGAAGGAAAAGTTTATGTAAACCTAAGTGCTTCCAAAGAGAACACGAGCTCCACAAACAGGGAGGAGGCAGCAGCAGGGGTCGTACATCGCTTTGTGGTGGGTGAAAGGAGGGCAGAAGCCACACTCTGCCAAATTCTTATAGTCTTCCAGGGACCACAGGCATTTCGATGAAGTCAGTAACGATTTCCAGAATATCCCTGCTGCTCTAATGATCCGATCCGAAGTGAAGTGCAGTTCCAATGGCTTCTGCGCCTTCAAAGGCTGCTCTCAGCCGTCTCGTTAGGAGATAGGTGCAGGCCTTGCGAGCCATCGATTAGACCTGCACGGGAGCGGGGAATGAATGATAACCTCCGACCCTCTGGGCTCACAGAAGCCCCATTTTCCTCCCGCCTCTGCTGAGCTCTTCCCCACCTCCAGCCCTCCCAAGATCCAGCTGTGGATCAGAAGAATGAGCTACCGAGGAAGATGCGTGAGAGGGGTTTGTACAGAAGCCAGCGGGAAGCGTAACTGTTCTTTACATTGTGTGTGGCATCTGAGCGGCCTGGGAGAGGGTGGGCAGTCCCCGACCTCCCAAGCTCCCAGGGCACTGGTTTGCAGAAAGGAGAGAGTGAGAGGCAAGCCCCAGGCTTCCTTCCTGCCAGTCCCTGGGAGTGGCAGACGCAGGCAAGGCTGGGAGCATTTGAGGAGCCGGTACCTTCTCTGACCGCTTGCACAGCCAGTTGAAGGGAGGATGGTGCCTGCTCTAACTTGGTGGTTCTCAAACTTGAGCGTGCATCGGCGTCACCTGGAGATCATGTTCAAACACATTGTGGCGTCCCACCCCCACGGTCGTTGATCCGGCGGGTCTGGGAATCGATGCTGCCGGTGCACATCCACGCTGTGAGAATCTCAGGTTTTTGACAGTGCCACCCTCCTGCCCTGGCTGCCTCTCATGCATCCGTCAGTGCTCTCCGACTTAAGGGCCCGGTTAGCACGCCCCTCTTCTGGAAGCCTTCCCTTATCTCTCACGATTGCTCTCTCCTCCAAACGCCTGACACCCCGTGTTTAGCCTGGTGCGGGGCCCCATGCTGTGCCACTTGGGATGCTCACACCCCCGGACTCCTTTACCAGATTTAAAGCAGATCAAGAGTGTGTTTTGTCATCTCCACATGGTTTACGGGGTTGAGCATATGGTAGTGGCTCATTTAATACACTTGTTGAATGCCATGGTTCCTAAGAAGGGGGGGAGGTGCCAGTGCTTACATTTCGTTCACTTTTGCTCTCCTGTCATCCTTCCCAGCCCCTGTACAAGCTCTGTAGCATGTGCGTCTTATGTTCTAAGTCACCTAGAGTGCCATGGATTTCAACATAAAAAAATTCAAGAAGATCGAAGAAGGGCTTGCTGTTTCTCAGTGTCTCATGCACTTCATATTTTTTGCTAAGCAGTTACATCGGACAACCAACACGTATACTGGTTTATGAACTTGTTTTGTTCCGCCAAGGCAGTTGAGGTAGGAATGTTAACGTCAAGCAGTTTTGTGTCAGTAGTCCTCCAAGAAGGGGTATTGTCTGCTGTGCAAACCCAAATCCTCGCCAGGATTTACCTGACTGGATGGGTAGATGGGCGGATGGATAGATGGATGTTTGAACACATGGACACACGGTCACCGTTTGCTGTTCTTACTGGGAATGAGGCATGAGGCATTGCCACTCCAGCTGCAATGTCTGGGCTCAAGCTTCCTCTCACCAGCCAGAAAGCTCGCTGCCAAATGTGGCTTCCAGGAGAGATCAATTTCTTTCTATTTAAACAGGGACTAGCATCTTTTAGAAAAAGGAATACCTAAGTTTAGGAAGAGGGGAGTCATTTTTAGATGCATTCACTTAACAGAAATGGATTGAGGGACTACTGTATGCCAGGCACTGTTCTGGATCTTAGTAACGGTGGGGCTCGGCCATTATAGATTCTGGTCTTCAGGAATCATGTCGAAAGGAACTAGGACACCTGCGCAATTTTGTGTCCATCTGAGCAAGTAGGAGCATGCCGTTAACATACTTACTTCCAGATGGTAAATGTAGGTAGAAATTTAACAGAAAGAAAGAGACTTTTTCCAAAAAAATTTAGTACCAGAGTTGGTTTAAAAATTGAATGATGATAGGAGATTCCTCTAGGTCATAAGTGCCTTTGTTTGAAAGTCTGTGCTTTGGGGATGCATCAGTTATTATCTCACAGCATAAAGACAGCGTCTGCTGGTCTCGTCCAGCCCACCATATAACTACGGCAGTCGTTGTACAAAGAGCATTCTGTCTCCCTCTATCTTCACACTTGAGAAAGTGGAGTCTCAAAAGTATAGTGCCTACTCACTTGTTTTGATATTTGATCATAAAGATATTTCAAATGACAGAATATACCTAAACTTTTGTGTGTGTGTGTTGTATACACACACACTGACATGTGACGTTATATGTCTCATAATGTGCATTATCGATTTAATAAAGATGGGGTCAGAAACCCCCATGAGAAGAGGCCCTGAAACTTGGGAGAAGGGTCCAAGAGAAAAAAAAAATCCAAGGAAAAGCTGGAAAGAAGCAGGCTGTCCTGAGCCCTAGCAGTTTGCATGCAGCTGGAGGCAGCGAGCCAGAAACCTGAGGGGCAGAGCAGGTGTGTACCTTCAAAAGAAAATAAACCCGATGGGGAAAGAGGTAGAAGCAGGCTGAAGAGACCAGAACGGGTTTGTTAATCTTCCCAAACATGGACACCCCAAGTTGTAAATAATCTCATTTTCTTCCCAAAGAGCGGGCAAGTGGGAGCAGGACCTTTGGCCCAAGTTGCCAGGGAGCCCTGCCTGTTGTCCGCTGCAGTACAGAGCAGCCAGCGCTCTGAGTGGAGGGGCAGGCAACTGGCAGGGCGGGGACGGGCGGGCGGGGCTGGTGGAGGCGGGGCTTGAGTGGTAGTCAGGGGTGGGGCTTGAGTGATAGGGGCGGGGCTGGTGGAGGTGGGGCTTGAGT